CGTCTGCGAACGTACCTATTTTTGTTAATTCGGTGGTCGGTATATCTGAGGTGTATAGCACGTAGAGGAGTGGACCCAAGATACTGCCCTGAGGAACTCCTGATTGTATGTTTCTTCGGTTGGATACTTCAGCGTTGATTTTTATTTCGAATTCTCTGTCTGTTAGGTACGACTGCAGTATTGCGAAATATTTGGCCGGTAGAATTCTTCTGATTTTGTAAAGCAGGCCTGGATGCCAAACTTTGTCAAATGCCTGACTTACGTCGAGGAAGGCAGCAGTGCAGTATTGTTTGTTTTCCATAGCTTGGTTGATTATATTAGCTATTCGGTGGCATTGTTGTGCTGTGGAGTGTGCCTGTCGAAAGCCAAATTGGTGATTAGGGATCCAGTCATTTGGATTGGCGTCGTGATTAATTCTATTGAGGATAAGCTTTTCAAGAAGTTTCGATATTATGGGTAACAAGCTAATTCCTATGATCGTGGACTGTCAGTTCTTCAACTGCATAATGCAGTGTACGCCGATCACAGTGGCCGTGCGGTCTAAGGCATGAACTAGACCGCGCCATAGCTCAAGCGGTTAGTCGCTGGGTCGCTGGCTTCCCACCGCGGAGGCCCTGGTTCGATCCCGGGTCTTGTCAAGTGGGATTTGTGGTGGACAAAGTGGCGCTGGGACAGGTGTTCTCTGAGTACTTCGATTTCCCCTGCCAATCTTCATTCCACCAATTGCTCCACAATCACCCTCACCTATCATCTGGGGCTGGTACAATAGGCCAGAAGTAGCAGCAGCAGAAAAAAAAAAAGAGCATGAACTGTCTTCACCCGCTCGAGCACTGGGATCGTGGGTTTGAATCTCATTTAAGGTATGGATGTCTGTGTGCGTCCAAGGAGTCACACCGACGGTGTATAGGATTAAGAAATTGAAAAAGCGGCCAAGGTCCAACAAAGGGCTATAGAGTCATATATAGATAGATAGATATAGCGCAGTGTACAATCTGTTTTGAAGATGACCATAAATTGTGATTAGCGAAGGAATAGAGCGACCGTGGCTTATTTCAAGGGGCTATCCTAATATCAGACTGGAGAGACAGGAATTCGGATGTAGATATCCGATATACGAAATGGATGCATGGCGAAGAGAAATCCAGAGAGTTACCGCTATGCCAACCTGCTCGGTTTGAGTGAATGAGGCTTATTTCATCGCTCGGATTACGTCCAGTAGTCATGGACAGTAAATGCAACCATAAATAAAGGAAGCTGTAGACACTTCAGGAAAATTAGAAAATGCTGCCTCAAATAGGTCAGGGCTGTCTCCTTTGTTTCTTTTGCTTCAGCATTCGAAGTCCCCCTACCACATATCTTTCGACGCTACAAACACTTAGCACTTAACACAGTACCGTAAAATATAGTGTAACCAAGTGATTCTAGAAAACCGGCAGCAGCAACTTGAAACTGGGAGATGGCTGTTCTGTGTTGAGGGAACGCGTCACTGGCCGTAAGCTTGACGCTATGAGGACTGCAGATAAGCTGCAAACACAGCCCTTGTCATCAGTGAGAGTTGCGGATGTAGCCTCCTTTGAAGCTGTAATATTTTGTTCATATTACACGGATGATTTTGTTTGTCCTCCTTAATTTGGATATATTACAAGAATTTAGGTAAGCTTCATATTAAGTTGGTTTCATTCTCAGCGGAAAAAGACTGGAGAGAGTGCACGCCATAATGTAGTACACAAATTGGCCACCGGCATTCTTTCACGGTTTATTATGCTTCGGCCTACTGGCGGCCGGTTCATATGTAGAACTGCATCAAAACACAGAAGTATTCGACAGAACGAATAAATTTCACGCTTCCACAGTACAATAAAACACAGCATCAAATTACAATAAACTATGTGAAACGGCGTGTGGGATATGTGGAAAAGTTAATGTATGGCCTTAGGACTTCTTTCATGGGCGACTATAACATCACAGTGCCCCTACCACAGGAAGACATTGCAGAAACTTGGGGGCATTCAGCGGGATTCCAACACGCGATGTCAATGCTGGAGAGGCTACCAGGACCGGCAACCATGTAAATTCTGTCATGATCCAGGCCCGGGATTGGAAGCAGATACCACGACCAAATTTCTTCAAGCGGTAATGCATATGACTTATATTCGAGAGGTGTTAGGTTCAAATACCGTCAGGGATACCGACCATCTTGAAAATTTGTGGTTTTCCTCAGTTCCCCTAAGCAATATTTGGAACTTATACCTCTTATAAGGCCACAAGTGCTTCCTTCCACACCCTTTCCAATCCATTGCGATCATTCTACGCCACCTAGTCTGAATTATTGATAGCGGTGTTACATCAACTATAGAAAGATTAGAAAACGAAGAGCATGCGTTGCAGATTAGGCTGACAGTGTTGCGGAACTATCTGGCAGGTGGGAATGCACCCCCGTCACATCTAAAAACGCACCTACATGGCGTACGAACTCTACTGCTCAATACAGAGTGACCGTTTTAAGGATACTGCGTGTTATATGTTTGAAGAGTACTACCTTATAGGATATAACGCCGTGTGGTCCGTTGAAAGATAATCGACGTTGCTGAGGAAACTGTAGCCTCCATCTTCAGGGCTGAACAGTAGACCAAGCAACGTTTGCTCTCTGCATAGTTTTCATTTCTTGTTTGGCTTACTCTTAAACACTGAAGATGGAGGTGATATATTCTTTTGAAACTTCTCTCGGTATTCAACGGACTGCATTGCGTTATATCCCAGAAGACCGAACTCTTCATAATCACCGCTGTGAGGACCTCAGATCCTTCATGTTGTTTGTGTATATCATTTCTTGCGTAACGACTGTAGTCCTCTAACTATTCTGAACAGCAGTGGATTTCCGAGAACCGGTTCCTCCGTCACACATCGTGCGATAAAAATAACGAGTATAACTTTAATTACCATAAACAAGCACATCTACACTCGTTTATGATACAAAAATTTCTGTCCTCATGTGGCATGAAAATCTAAGAGGCCTCATAGGTGCCAGCAATGAACATTTGCAATTAACACAATTTATATGAGGGCACAAAATAATTTAATTGTAAGAAGTCTCCCAATTTGTTATATCGGTATATAATCTAGAGAAAAATAGTGTGGGCTTAATCTACCTAAATAGTCAGATTTGTCTGCAATAATGTAGCAAGTTCAGTACATATCTAAATTATTACCGTTAAATACAGTCGCTAATTGTAATATAAAATTAAGCTATAGTTTTTGGGCGTCCTCATTTTATGACGAGGGACTATTTTCATATAAAAACAAATAATAGGTACCTTACAATTTGGTACGCTCCAAGGGACTGAACTAAAGCATCTTCTAATTACAGGGCACTGCCTGAAAATATGCAGATCCTACAACTTCGGATTCGTCTGCTCCTCCTAACGTTATCCCCGCCTGATCCGCGTGAGATGCTAGTTGAAGAGCCTCGTCACAGATATTGCTGATGGGTGAGTACACACAACGACATAATCAGATCCATCTTATACGCAAGGTCAGTATGATCTCGCACTTTCTTCCTGCTGTTTATATGATTTTAGTTCCGGGGTTCAGTGTTGGTCCCACAGGCGACGCTAGCGGTAGGTATATGTTGCTTACTTACTCGTGGAGCTGAGCCCTTCTTGAGGAGCCGCCAATTCTGCAGTAACTCAAGAATTTCCCAGAATTTTATAGAACCTGAAGGTTCATTACCGTGTTCACAAGAGCCCTCCACCGGTTCCTCTCCTGAGCCAGATCAATCCTCCCCATACTATCCCATCCTATCTCTCTAGGATCCATTTCAATATTGATCACCCACCTACGCCTTGGTCTTCCCTGTGGTCTCTTTCCTTCTGGCTTTCCTTCCATTCTCGTATACACATTCCTCTTCTCCCCATTCGTGCTACATGCAATGCCCATCTCATCCTCCTTGACTTGTTCATTCTAATTATACTTTGAGAAGAGTGCAAGTTATGAAGCTCCTCATTATGCAATTTTCTCCAACCTCCAGTCACTTCATCTCTCTTCGGTCCAAATATTCTCCTCAACACCCTGTTCTCAAGCGCCCTCCGTCTATGTTGGTATATGTTACTATGACATGAAAATCTTCTAATTATTCCTACGCATTGGTGATAATGAAATTGATTATCTGTATGGCTTCTTGCAATTATTTTCATTTTATTTTCTCCCTTAGTGTCAGGTCTGTTCATGTGTCATCACAATCGCTAAATCTTTTCTATCATCGCATTTCCTAACCACGTGACTGCCAAAAACATTTTGGCAGATCCTTCCCAATCAAGCAGTAAAAAGAACCTTCGTCACATTCTCCTCAATACAAGATGATCACAAAATATCTTTTGAGAACTGTTCTCAGTCTCAAGCGGTTGCTTAAAATGTTTCCATCGCTTCCTGTCCTGAACACGGAGTCGCAAAACAATTTTAATCACCTATTTTATGTCATCAGCTGTCCATGTCGTCGCCTCGTATTGCATAGTGACCACATTTTCGGTTCTTCCAACCAGGACTCCACCTCCTACTTTGCTGCACACAGCCATAACTATGTAAGGACTTCCGAAACCCTCTAAAAATTCTAACATAGCCAGATCTCTTATAAGTAGAATGCCAATTATGTACATATATTGTAAAAATCCCTAGGTTAAGAAATATGTTGGCCATTGATCCATAGAATGTCCGATACCTCGATCTCTGAACGGACATAGTCCAATGCATTGCTGGGACTGGAACATTAACCATGAAGATGGCAACTGTAGTATTTGCCAAAACGTTGTAACACTTTCAACATTATGAGCGAGGTATTTCCGAAAGTAGATCTCATGCATCTTTTTGATATGTTTAGTATTCATTTACAAAGAAGAAAACCAATTTACAAGTAGGAATGTACTGTCTTTATTGTATCAAGGATCTGTAAACTTTTCCCTAGGAAGCACCACACCTCGAAGGTGTATGAGGGAGTGAAGCTATAGCTCCACCAGTCTTTAACTCTACATTAAATGGATGTGAGTAGTCAGCTTCACGCCCCCGTAGACGAGGCTTGGTGGGCCCGGTATGGACTTTATGGAGAAGGGAAAAGTGTTCTGCCCCTGCTAGGAATTGAATCCCGGCTCTTCGGTCATCCATTCCGTAGCCTAGTCACAATACCGACTGAGCTATCCAGATTCATAGCCAATTAGTCTTGTAATAATCTACAATCTACAATGTAATCTACAATAAATTGACATCAACATCAGTGCGATATGTACATTCACTTATATAAGGTTTGAAAACATCCATACATTTTTCCACGACAGAGCGTGGCATCAAATTGTCATACGGGCTTATCTCTGCAACCAAACTCTATATAATACCTTACGAAAATAATCCAAATAGAGTACAAGAAACATGGGAAAATGCACCTCGGGAAGCTATTCATTTTTTCTTGAGCCCTGATTGCTATTCAGGCGTGTTCAGTCCTCTATAAATCGACGTACGCCAGATACAGGATGTAACATTTCTCGTTATTATAGGTCTGTTAGTTGAGGATCTTTCAGAAACCACCGCATTATACAAATATGGGGCTGTACAAGACATAACATGTATATTTTATGGATTACTGAGGCTTTTGTTCAAACCGCCTCATTTTTTAGGAAACATTTGGCAAGATACCACAAAATGAATTTAAAACATTAAACAGGATAGCCTAAAATTAATTAAACTTAATAAAACTTGCACATAAACTATTACCAAGGACTAATAAGCTATATGAGTTGCTTAGGGATTTTCTGTAAAATGGTCCTTGATTTAAATTTATATTTATGAAACATATGTAAGTGGGTTTTCGGCCTCTAATTGTAGTGGCGCTTAAATTAAAATGAATATGACTTAACAAAATTTAGTGTCCGGCTAGATTACTGAATTTAATAGGAATTGATTGGTTTGTGTGTGTGTGTGTGTGTATGCGTGTGTGTGTGGGGGGGGATGTTACTGCTTATGGTCAAACGGGCGGAAATTTGAAGTTAATAGGTATTTTGGAAATCCTGTCTGGAAAAACATTAAAAAAGTGTGCGTGAACACATATAGCATAATTCGCAATTCCACGGTCTATATAAGTAACTAAACAGAAAGGGACTTGGTTTTACAGACACTGTAATAAATTTCCATTTCACGAAAGCAGATGCATAATTTAAACACCTTGCGCCATGTAGTGAGATATTTTGAAGTCACTGGATAAGAATATGGGTTGTCCTGCTGTTGCCAGACATGCAGTCCCGGTCGTTCAGTCTATCTCTATTTTGGCTTATTTTACTAACTGGAAAATCAAGAGCCAATTCACTTTAGTTCACATCGTGACAACCTATTTACGTCGCTTATATTTTAATACAATTCTCCAGTTTCCATCTCGATATTAAAAATTGCCTCTCTCTAAGAGGTTTAGTACACAAATTCTGGACTACTTGGTCTGCTATCCATATTCAATTCCGTCATGTGCTACAGGCTTTGCCTTGGCAATAGCAAGAGTAGCGGCCAACTCCGTATTTTTTTTATTGCTAGTGGGGTGGGACTAAGTCCCTTGTACTGCGGCCACTTCTGGCCTATTGTACCAGCCCCCGATGATAGGTGAGGGTGATTGTGGAGTAATTGGTGGAATGAAGATTGGCGGACGAAACCGAAGAACTCGGAGAAAACCTGCTCCAGCGCCACTTTGTCTACCACAAATCCCACTTGACCAGACCCGGGATCGAACCCGGGCCGCCGCGGTGGGAAGCCAGCGACTAACCGCTTGAGCTATGGCGCGGGCCAACTCCGTATAGTGCAGACTCTTTTTTGGAACTTTTGTTGCTCTTCAGTTGGTCACGAAATACGTTGCCTTTTATGAAACCCAATGATTCATTACCTTTTTCACATGGACCCGGAACTGGGTCCAATCATTTGTCAGCTGAATTAAGTTCACGGTCCATACCGTATTTCTCTGAAATCCATCTTGGTAATGTTGCCTTCCTCCAAAATATCTCCGCTTAAGTCTCCACGTTATTTCTTCCGTAACAAAACTTGGTATTTGCAGTCTAAAATCAACATTAATAATAATAATACTAACAATAATAATAATAATAATAATAATAATAATAATAATAATAAGAAGAAGAAGAAGAAGAAGAACAGTGGTGGTACGATTGTGTTAATAGTAACAGTAATAGAACAATTTGTTTTGTCACAGAATTCTTCGTTATATAAAATCGTAATTTTTCTACTTAAGTTTTCTGTACTACACCCAAATATTTGTCATTTTCGTTTTATTTTCGAAACTTTTGAAATCTACAATCTTCTTTCAGAGGAAGAGAACATTTACAATCGAAGGGCTACTAGTAAAGTGACTGTTTCATGAAACTTCATCAATCTAGTTTTCGGATGCAGTGGTGACTAAAAATTCTGCAACTATATAAAGGGAAGTTTATGCGGAGTGCGTTATTCTTTAAATTTAATCACGAACACCATTTTATGTCTAGTTTAATGCAAGCTTATTACTCTCACAACTCATAACAATGTACTAATTAGTATACATTATGTTTATTAAGGGAACAACTTTGGAATATGTGCACAAGGATATAACATCAAAATCGAAAACAAGCAAGTCAAAGTGTTCTTACAGTTTTTAAACCTATGTCATCACTTGCACATAGCGACGTGTAAGAAAGTGTCGAAACAGGAAAGACAAGTTCGGGCTCTTCTGGGAAATACTTGTAAGACATGGTTGACCGAACGATCGCTGTATTTACATGCTACGTGATACTTTCTGGCTTTTGCATTAGTGGTATGAGTTATCCACTGTGGTGGAGTCACTGTGCGTTACTGGAGCTTTGTTTCACAAGCACAAAACGCCCATGAAGCTGTGGTTTGGTCACTGTTCATGTTGTACCGTTCCGAGCAATGTGGAACCTTGAGCCGCCTTTCGATTCGTTGTCTCCACCCAAACACTTCTGATGTCCACGCTTGAACTCCACACGATGTTTGCAGTGGATGAGATGGCGTGGTGAAACATACTTATGCTCTCATTCTGTGCTCTACAGGTGAAATTTCAGATCTCCTAATTAACACTGCTCAAAACGAGTAGAATTGGAACTTTCCAGAAGATATAAACCACTGCAGTCAGAACAGCCAAAACAACCACAACACTCTGGCTCGCATCAGATCTGACTGAATTGATAACATCCAAATGACGATTATTACTACTATTCTGTGGGAGCTATAGTCCGTGATGAACCTTGGCCTCTCTTTTACACTTTCTTAATCATATAGACAGTCTGTAGGACTCATTGGGCGAGGGATCAGAGTTGCAAGGCCGCTACCTACACGTGACAACATAAACACAGAATAAACGCAGACAGATAACCTCTAGATGGATTCGCACCCACGATCATAATGCTTGAGCCGGCGAAGACAATTCAAACCTTCGATTGTGCGGCCACTGTGATCGGTAAACGACGATGAAGTCTGTTGGGCATTATGACAGAATATTCAGCACCAAGGATAGTGAACTTAAAATGCTCCGAAATACTAGCCTACATCATGTCATATAAATCTTACCTCCTTTCTTCCATGATTGAATGCAACAGTCATAATGTCCACCAGGACTAGTGCGGTCATATAATGATTTCAGTTGGCCCTCTTCTTCGTAGCGCACTCTGTTTATCACTATATATCTCTTGAATCAGAAGACAAACACCAAAGGTACAGTCAGCACAAGAAGATTAAAAAAGACCAGCAATGCCATAGTTATGTTGCCGCCTGAAAATGAGTTGAAACGACGCTGCATGCTTCCTGGTTCTGCACCAGTGGTCGATAATATCTCGGTGTAGTTATCGACAACAGAAGTCGACATCTCGATACAGATGTCTGTCACATTTTCTGATGGAGCGAGACTTGCTGTGAAAGGTAGAACTGTGCACAGGGCACTTGCCAACACATACCAGCTGAGGTTCGAGTACTCGGGAGGAAAGTGGCACTCAGCGTCGGTGTTATCTATGTTGCCGGAGCTCCAGATTACGACAGGTTGCAAATTGCAGTCGCAATTTAGGGGATTCCCTTTGATGGCGAGACTATTCAGGTTGAACATAGGAGATACTGTCTCGACGTCGAGGGTCGACAAAAGGTTGTTCCTCACATCCAGAGAGATCAGTTTGTTCTGGTACTCGAACAGTCCGATCGGCAGTGTTACCAGCTGGTTATCCTTCATGTCCAGGAATCTGAGGTTCCTTAGCCTCGAGAAAACGCCAACTTCAAGAATTCTCAATTGGTTGTGGTTGAGGTTAAGAGTTTTGAGCCCCCAAAGTGGATCAAATATATGGCCCGGAAGTAAAATCAAACGATTGTTCTCGAGAGTGAGTTCTGGGAGCTCTTGAGCACCTATCCAGTTGAACATGTCCTTCTTCAGGTGGATCAGTCCTCTGTTGCTGCAGTCCACGCCTCCGCTGTAACAACTGCATGGCGAGGGACAGTCCCCACTTGCAGCCCCCAAGAGTATCATGGCGACAAAGGCTAGAGACTTCGGCGTTGTCAGCTGGAAATCATAAAACATACTGACGTTCTTTCACTTGGTACTGGCGCGTGGCACATCAGTTCATATATGTTATTTCGTGTCTTTCGATCATCTAGAAGGACGAATCAAACGAGACTTGGAATATTATACAGAACTGCATCTTCACAAACTATTTAATGTCTTTTATAAGATTATTCAACGAAGCTGACACAATGAAAGTATAATTGGGAGGTCCGTTCATCCATCTGTACATCTGTTGAAAGGGCTTCAGCTGTTAGCTATGTGATTCCAGATGGAGCAATTTCAAATATTTTGGAAAGATGACTTTATCAATTTCGGTTCTATACAAAACCATGAACGAACGTTTCATTTAATGAAGTTGAATAAATGTAATTTAAGAATATGAATAAGAGTTGAAAATTTGGCTGAAATATCGGACATGCAGATAGGCTTGTTTCTCCCTATTTTCTTTTCAGACGCTGGCATGAGAGATCATTAGATTTTCAAAATGTGTCAGAGTCATGAGCTGACTGAGAACTCTGCAAATAAGTCAAGTGTTTTATGGACATCCAGTCGGGTCTTACCGTTATTTTTCTCAGTAGAAATCTGTTACTGCCAGAGTAGACACTTGGCACGTGGAATTACCATATGTGTTTATCTCTACCAGCGTACTGAAATACTGCCAATATGTCTTACTGTCACTAGGTCTGTTAGTAGCACACTTCAGTCATGGAAGAACATTTCTTCTCTTATGAATCGTGTTTGTTTTAATTAGCGTTAAGTGAAATGCAGAGATGATCATGAATGGATAGTAATGTAAAGATTTTGGGAGGAGCCATTCATAGCCTGTTCCAAATTGGTGTTTTGGTTTTCACCTGGGCAAAATAAGGAATAAGGAATCTCGGCCAGATCTCTCAGTTAACCGTATCTCCCGAATAGAATTGTACAGCGTTACTCATACAACATAAGTTTACGTGAAGGCAATCACTCGTGATTGGAGCTGGTCTTCGTCACATCCTAATTCCCCGTACCAGAAGCGCATGTCGGTTTCTACTCTCATCTTGAGGCCACCGAAATACGAGTACGATTCGGTAGTGGTAGGTATATTATTATTATTATTATTATTATTATTAGAGGAGTGAGACAGTTACTGCGGCCACTGCTGCCTTATTGCACCAGCCCCAGATGATAGATGATGGTGATTGTGGAGCAATTGATGGAATGAAGTTTGGTAGACGAAACCGAAGAACTCGGAGAAAACCTGCCCCAGCGCCACTTTGTCCACCACAAATCCCACTTGACCAGACCCGGGAGCCAGAGACTAACCGCTTTAGCTATGACGCGGCCATCTCTGTACACTTAGTAACTACATACATTCGTAAAAGCATTTCCTTTTTGCGCGGAAGCTGAGCTCTTATCACATTGCTATATTTACTTACTCGTGAAGTCGTGGAATGTGGTACATCAACATTAGAAGCACACGGGGCAACACAATGACTTACAGCAGGATTCTTCTTATTCTGTAGCACTGACAATTCATATTTCCCAGAATTTTGCTTCATCGTTGTGATTACGCTACATTCGACATTAACACAAGATATTTCGCACAAAGTAGCTCATGCGCATATATTCCCATCACAGCAAATCTCGAGTGTCTAAATACAGTGGACATGAATTACTTTATTAAGACTGCAAGGAGTTACCAAGGTCTGACAGATGGATTCCCAGCCCAACAGATCTATTGATATGTTGTTGCTGTTACAGTTTTGTGTGTGTACGTGAACAATGTATTACTCTAAAGTGCAGTACAGATTCTGTGTACTGTGTACTGTTGGATATAGCTTCAACATTTTGCATCGCCGCCATGATTGTAATCGTTGACTTAATGATATTTCATACGTAATATGTAGGTGTATTTGCAATATATCTCAGCACAAAATTTTGCAATACTGGCCCCAGAGATTATCCCCATCAAACTGAAAGCTAAATAAATTTTTCTCATGGCCGCCATATTGCTATTTTATGTTATAAAAAAGATAACCTTTATAGAAGTTGCATATTATTCCAAGATCTTTTATTATGAATCATTTCAGCACCCTAACGTAAGTGGCAGTAATTGTGCTCCCACCTCGTAAATTGCGAGCTCACCATACTGTTATTACTGATCGTAGGAAACTACAAACGCAGGAGCTGAAATGGGTTCGAATGGCATCATTCATGCGAACTTTCGTAAAAAGCAATAAACTTGTTTAAAATTTAAAATGAGAGAACACACAGCATACTGCTTTCATAAGCCTCTCTTATTACCTTGCACGTAATCAAAGTAGGTTAGAAAGTACGACTTTGGGGTAGCCTACAATGGTATAATGTTCGTACAAAGTTTCATTTATATCGGTCAGCTAGTTCAAAAATTTGTAAGGAAAGACCGGCACACAGGCAGTATGGCGTTCTCATAAACCTGCTTTTTTCTTTAAGGAAGGAGAGTATGCTAAAAATGAGATAACTCAAACCTCTTGGGTGTATACCATTATTGCGTTTACAAAAATAATGTGAACACAGTAATGTCAGTACTGACCAGCATTTTGTTAAAATACGCTTTTGGTATTTTTTACAAAGCCTGATTAACACCGTTGTAATTTGTACATGCCCGACCTAGTGGTCTCGAGAGCTCAGATGATAATATATATGTACCGATCAATCTGTACTGAATGGTAGGGATTTTTTTTTCCTTGGCACTACAGCCCCAGTGGGCCTAGGCCTACCTCCATGAACTTCTCCGTTCACTTCGGTTTTTCTAGATCTTACACATTCGGCAGGACTCCCTGGGCGGGTGATCAGCTCGTCGCAAGGCCTCTACCTGTACACAAACACAGAAAAACGGACACACACAAACTAAACATCCACTCCTTGAGTGGGATTCGAACCCAGGATCCCGGTTTCCAAGCGAGCGAAGACAGTACATACCTTAGACCGACGGCAGGGAATTACAGGTATGAATTCTTATATACTTCGACATAACGTACAGCATTTTTCTCAAAATGCCTCCCGAATCAATGGCTGCGTGCGTATTACAGTCATGTATGAACAGGTCTGTCTGGTATGTCAGTGGAAGCTGTTGTCTAAAATACATTTCTTTATTTATTGGACGGCGTAGTCAGTGTTTTCTGTAGATATTTTCTGGGATAAATATGTATTTTATTCGACGATATATAGTACTCACTTTATTTTCTCTACAGATTTCAGACGGTCTATATTTTTCTAGCCTCAATTTTACTCCCCAAATGAGTGAGAGTACTCACCATGGCGCGTGGTTCCGACAGTCCCGGCTTGACTGGAAGCAAGAAATGAGCTGCAAACTAAGCTCACAGAGGCAAACGACAGCAGCTACAGATAAACGCGCTTCCTCTTCAAATATCAGCGCCTAATTCAGTCTTTCGGTTCTCAAAAAGCCAGGCGCGGGCGGAACTGATATCATTTCAAAGCAAAACACAGAAAAATTTCTGTCATGTGCTGGATTTGAAACGTTATGCAAACTCCTACTTGCCACACTAAAAATACATCTTCCGGCCTTTAAAAGTATTATTATTATTTTATTAGTATTACTAATTTGCTTTTCAGCTGTTGTCAAGCACTTTAATAAATAAAATGAAGCATCATCATCGTCGTCGTAGAATTCGTTATTGTTGCTATTATTATTATTATTATTATTATTATTCGTAATTGGTCTCTGCGTTATTAAGTTTGCACGTAAATAAACAAGAATTGAATTGAATTGAATTGAATTACTGTGTCATTTTACTCCGCATTACAGAGAATCCTATCCACGAACCAGACTCAAACCTTATTCGTAAGGCTCATCACGTATTAGTATCATGGAAGATAGGGCCGCGCCATAGCTCAAGCGGTTAGGGGCTGGCTTCCCACCGCAACGTCCCGGGTTCGATCCAAGGTCTTGTCAAGTGGGATTTGTGGTGGACAAAGTGGCGCTGGGGCAGGTTTCCTCCGAGTACTTCGGATTCCCCTGCCAATCTTCATTCCACCAATTACTCCACAATCACCCTCACCTATCTATCATCTGGGGCTGGTACAAAAGGCCAGAAGTGGCCGCAGTACAAGGGACTTGGTCCCACCCCACTAGCAATAAGAAAATCATGGAAAATATATTTGAAACTAAAGTAAGTGCTACATTAGAGTCTTCTTCAAGATGCATGCTGTTCCCTGACTGGGCGCATATTGAAATTATGCGATGGAGTGTTGATTAGAGACGCTCTCTAAATATGCTACTTCTGAAATGATCTCATGCTTCCAGTCGCACCTATGCTCACAATTTCACACTTCGCATGATCTTTGTCCTTCAGTATTTTTCCCTGTATTTTTATCAGATGGTCCTATAGAACTTCAATCAGCAATTTATCGTGTCTCACGGTGTTGTCGCTTGCAGAATTACTTATACTTTTTCTTCAACCCTGAAGATGGGGGCGATACGTTCCTCCGAAATGTCGGTTAACACCACATATACACGGTGCCAAATCCCAGAAGACTGCATTCAGCAAACATATTGCTTGTCTGTCTGGAAAATGAAGTCACGTTTGTTGTACGATATTGTATGTGTGCTCCCATCTTATCAAACTGAATGCTTATTCGATAATTATTTTCATACATATATTTTAGAATCTTTGTAGCACAGTCGGCCTACTTGATCTTCATTATCCTACTCAGAATATCCGGTCCCGGTCCGAGATTTGAAGCCAGAACCTCCCGAACATGAAGCACAAGCACTATCATTCGACCGATGAGGTCGATAATAATATTAATAATAATAATTTATTTACGTGATATCTTAAGATACGCTATGGTGAATTACAATAAAACAGGAGACAAAAGATATAAATAAGGCAATTTATATAATTTGAATTATTTACATTAAAACAAATCACAGCTATCATTAAGAGATGAGGTACAGGTACAACTATCTCTGTAACAGGCCGTGGAGGGCCACAGGGTTCTGAGACGTCGAGGATCTCACATTTTCTAGAAAATCAGCTCACGGATGGCAGTGAGGTTGCCAGCCTTAAGCTCTGGCTGCACGTCACCCCCAGAAAGATTCCTGGTACTCATTTCTGTTAGAGGCTGAGTCGCCCCCGGGGTCTTTGTGCGTCTGAAAGGCTGAGGTCAATTGAAAAATCCTATGACTTCATCGGGAATCGAACCCACAGTCTTTGAGCTTGTAGCATAGTGCCTCAACCAATTACACCCTTAAGAAATGAGACAATATACGAGAAGCGTTTCGTATATAATGCCCCCTATTTTTTTGAATGAAAACTACAATAGATACAGAAAGCATAATAACGCAGTTAAATAGAGCAAGATTTCAGCTACATACACTTATTTTTCCACATAATCACCACCATTCGTTATGCAGTTTTGCCAGCGATGAACAAGAGCATGTATGCCGCGTCCTTAAAAGTCTGCGCCAGCAGAGGCTAGGCACTTTCATACAGCTGCAATGACAGCATCATTGTCTGGAAAATGATGCCCATGTAGTCCATCTTTCATAGGCCCAAAGAGATGGAAGTCTGAAGGTGCTAAATCGGGGCTATAAGGTGGATGTGGTAGGACAGTCCAGCCAAACTTCGTAATGTGCGCGGTGGTCACCAAACTGGTATGGGGTCTAGCGTTATCATGTTGCAAGCGAAAGGTTGTCTGCTTCTCTGGCCTGACTCGGGAAATACAGGCTTTCAGCTTAGTCAGCGTCATCTTGTAGCGTCCAGAATTGACAGTCTCATCAGGCTCCAGGAAATCCAACGAAATCACACCCCGCTAATCCCAAAAGACCGCGCACATCACTTTCCCTGCCGATGGTTGTGTCTTGAACTTCTTTTCTCTAGGGGAATCCGGATGTCGCCACTCCATGGAGTGTCTTTTGGATTCCGGCTCGTAGTGGTGACACCACGTCTCATCTCCGGTGACGATGCTGTCCAGAAACTTGTCACCTTCAGCCTCAAACTGGTGCAACAGGTCCTGACAGACTTCCATTCGATGACTTTTGTGGTCCTGAGTAAGCATTATTGGGACTCACCTGGAACAAACCTTGCGATAATCCAGCTTCCCCAACATCGTTTCCAATGCATTACAGCCGATATTAAACTGTGCAAACAGTTCCCTGGTCGTTATCTGCCGATCTTTATGGATGAGGCGCTGTTCATTGTGAGGAGTGGCAGCTGAGCAGGGACGCCCAGGGCGTGGCTTGTCGTGCACTTCACTTTCGCCACTGTTGAAACGCACTACCCACCGCCTCACTGTGCTGACTTCCACTGTATCGTCTCCGTACACCTTTAGAAAGCGTCGATGGATGTCAATGGGTGCAATTTGTTCGGCAGTGAGAAATTCAATAACACATCTCTGTTTCGTACGCACTTCTATGTCAGACGTCATTTTGGTACACTGCTCTTCTGCCGCTATCTGTCGCACGACAACCAAACTAACAGTACATTGGCGGGAAGTTTCAACCTTTACTACAACACCAACATCCAGCTCAGACGTTACATAACACAAAAAAAAAAAATAGGAGGCATTATATATGGAGCGCGCTTCGTATATTTGTATTGAATATAATTAAGATTACAATAAACAAGGAATTAGATTGTACCATAATAATAAAAACTAATACGGTAGTAGCAGAACCCGAATAGTCTTCTCCGCTCACACCACACTCCGCAATGTCTTGGGCCCCTCGACTCCATGATATATTCCTTCATTTTGCGGATGGAAGAAACAGCCTCTAGGTATGGAATGCAGCTACAAATGTATTCAAAGAACAATTTCGAACAGCTGATAAGTGGTGATAAGTTAGTGGTTGTACGTCGGCCACTTTTTTAAGATATATCAAGTGAGCGTCCACATAACAGAATATACAGGTGTTTCCCCCGCTTCCAAAGATGATAAAAGAAATGCTTTCCCTTCATCCCCATGCAAGTACGGCAATTTTTGGATCTTTCTTGCAAGTTTACGCTTGTTTGAGAATGCATTGCAGTATAAAATCAAGAAGCAGTAATTTTATAATTAGCTGATATTCTGATCTATTCAGTTATTGTCCGAAACTTTAGAGGTGACCCATAACCTTATAAATACTCGTATGAAGTGTCTAGGGTAAGTAACGTGAGTGAGGAAAAATCTCAAGAGAAGAAAGCTAAAGAATATTTTTGACAACAGAAAGAAAGGGAAGACGGCACTAAAAGTATATACAACAAAGTAAACGACATAAAAATCTGAAATACGAATCGTACGCGTAGGCGCCAAAAAGAAGAAAAAGATACAATGGAAACCTTCTACGAAAGAAACTAACAACAAAAACAACGATGTGCCTAAGGACAGAGAATACAAAGTGTACAGTGTAGTGGTCTCCCCGATAACGAAAAATGTTGCCTAATGATGGTCCATGTGAGGCCGAAATATGTTGCAGCAAGGAATGAATGTGTAAGTTTAATGACATTTTAAAATAAATTAAAAAATAAAAAATTTAAAATATCACTGGAGTCCAGTGATTGAGACTAGCTCTTTCTACGGGGCCCAACTGAGTAGGTATATCCTTCCCTATCCACCTGAAGACGGAGACAGTTCCAGTCTCCGAAACGTCGTGGATTTTTTTTCTTTTATATACCAGACGATGGGTGAAGTCCAAAATAAGCCAAAAGAAGGACTTGCTTCAGCTCTACACTACTCAGATCAAGTTGTATATAATGAGATGCTGCGAATGATCGGTAAATTAGAGATGAAGGATATTACTTTGGAGCAGTCTGTTGTGTTGATTAATTACTTTATTATTATATTTCAATTTTATCTTCATAACATTTTTAATATTCAGATGCCCCTGTGATTTATTCAGCATTGTCACACTACATTCTCTTGTTTAGGCTGTTAGTACTAGTACAAAACGTCTTATATTGTTGTAAGTTGAGACACTGTATTGCTCTTTTGTCGAATGAAGCATTAATTAAAATTAAATTAAAACTAATAATTAAAAGCTGAAGTTGACCATTGAAATTAAAGGTCTCAGGTGCAGTTCTGCTGTTGTTTTCTCTTCAGATTATTGGATGTAGTGTTCGTGATTTGTAGATTTGATAGCTAAAAAGGTCTTCGAAGTAATGTCCCTACCGACAATGACAAATGTCATTATTTCAGCGACGTATTATCGAACAGATCCTTCAAAATTGAAAAAATTTTACTGACTACTTAAGGGATTTTCCTACATTGTGATGTACATTTTTCTGAAAACATGAGAAATTATTCTATCGCCACCCTTCGTAACTTACATGGAAGCGGAACAATTTTATTCATCCAACTAACAAAGAGAAACGTGAGATGTATACAGAAAAC